TGTTCGGTCTTTCACATTGTATGAGTCGGTTATTAACTGGGGTATATTAATATATTGCAATATATAAATTAGTCTTATATCCAGGAGTTTATATCATTATCCATCATATAGATCAGCTCCTTATACTGCCAGGGATAAAGTCAGTATATATAACAGGCCCTTATATGTATATGTGTGTGTTTGATGTATGTATATATGCATCTGAAGGCTCATGCGTCCATACATGTGTATATATGTGTTTACACGTGAATGTTAAGTATATGTGTATGTATTCCGTGTATAATATGTGTTTGGTGAAGACGCTCCGACAAGGACGTGATAAAGTACGAGATATATTGTTTTATCCAGTTATTTTTATTATTATGGCCACAATGTTATATATTAAGTGTTAAAGAGAACAAATAATAAAAGGTTTACAAACAAAACATCAGCACAGAAGACACAATGTAGTTAAAGAAGGTTACTCTTGGTTTTACTTGAAGCTGACATTTTGTTGGTTAACATGATGAGGCCTAAATCGTGTCAACAGAGCGAGTAGTTCTATGTTATGGTGGTGGTGGTGGTGGTGGCAGACGTTAGGTGTCTGCTGCCGTCTGCTGTAGATGGTGGTGGCAGATGCAACACTTGCCAAAATATACAGAGTCGATGACCACTTCTCCAGCCAGCCTCCTTCCTCATCATCACCACCCACAACAGCAACTACTTAGTCTCTATCCTGTAGAAGGATGACCCTGAGCCGCATGGTTCTGGTGACCTACAGGTGCATAGGGCTGGTGGACTCCAGGGTGAGTACTACCATGGCCTGGATGGCCTGGATGGCCTGGATGGCCTGGATGACCTGGAAAGACCTCGAAGCTCTGATGTCCTTCATTAGTCCAAATTCCAAATTCATTGCTCACTTTTGGTCGTCCATATGGGCCTGTAACAACGGAACCAGGTCCAACCGGGTTAAGGTAGGGGTCGTTTAGGAGAGGATTTGGTTGTGGGTGTGTACCAACTCCCTGGGGCAGCCCTTCAACTTTAGCCTGGTCGAGGGATACCACAATGAGGAGTAGCATCAGCGCCTTCCCCAGCAAGTTCCTTGAAGTGGACATCTGTGGGGAGAAACAAAGTACAGGTGTTACTCTTTTATGATGACTGTGAGGTAGAAAAACACAGGAATTACCCATTAAACGTCTCTCTGTATACCTCTGTAAAGCCGTTTTATGCCAGCAAATACATAAGGAGAGGCTGGAGTACTCACTGTCAACACGTAGACACGGAGGAGGGAGACAAGTGCTTCTGTCGAGCTCTGGACAGTTTGTGTGGTGGGATGTGTGAGGCTCTTCTTATATATATCGTGTGTGTGTGTGGGCAGAGGGCCATCACAGCCACCACCCCCTCCACCACCATCACCTCCACTACCACCACTATCACCGCCACCCCCACTACACACCACCACCCCTTCCACCAACACCACCCCCACCACCACCTCCACTACCACTACCACCTCAACCACTACAACTACCACAACTGATAAAACCAACACGACCACCACCACTAAGGGAAAACTGATTTCTGGGCGAGGTTGTATCCTAGTCTGTGATTAGGTGATGCTTACATTAACTGAGAAGCATTATTGCTGACGTCAACTGTGTGTGTGTGTGTGTGTGTGTGTGTGTGTGTGTGTGTGTGTGTGTGCGTGTGTGTGTCCCGTCAGGTAAAGGAAACTTGGGTCTCTACTCTTTTTCCTGCACCTCAAGGATAGCACCTCTCTCTCTCTCTCTCTCTCTCTCTCTCTCTCTCTCTCTCTCTCTCTCTTCTGTATCTCTCCTCTCTATATCCTTCTCTCTCTACCCCCTCTCTCTCTAGCCATCCTCTCTCTCTATCCATCCTCTCAACCCCTCCTCTCTATCCCCTTCTCTCTATCCCTCCTCTCTCTATCCCCCTCTCTATCCCACCTCTCTATCCCTCCTCTCTCACTATCCCCCTCTCTCTATCCCTCCTCTCTCTATCCCCCTCTCTATCCCACCTCTCTATCCCTCCTCTCTATCTCTCCTCTCTCTCTATCCCTCCTCTCTGTCCTCTCTCTCTCCTCCTCTCTATCCCTCCTCTCTTTCTCCTCCTCTCTCTCTCCCTCCCTCTCTATCCCCTCCTCTCTCTATCCCTCCTCTCTATCCTTCCTCTCTATCTCTCCCCTCTCTCTCTCTATCCCTCTCTCTATCCTCTCTCTCTCTATCCTCCTCTCTCTGTCCCTCTCTCTCTCCTATCCCCCTCTCTATCCTTCCCTCTCTCTATTCCTTCTCTATCCCATCTCTCTATCCCTCTCTATCTCTACTCTCTCTCTATCCCTCCCCTCTATCATTCCTCTCTATCCTCCTCCTCTATCCCCCTCTCTATCCCCACCTCTCTATCCCCTCTCTGTCCTCCTCTCTATCCCTCTCTATCACATCTCTATCCTCCTCTCTCTCTCTATCCCCTCTCTCTGCTCCTCCTCTCTCCCCTCCTCTCTCTCTATCCCTCCCTCTCTATCTCTCTCTCTCTCTATCCTCCTCTCTATCCCTCCTCTCTATTCTCTCTCTATCTCCTCTCTCTCTGCTCCTCCTCTCTCTCTCCCCTCTATCTATCCCCTCCTCTCTCCTCCCCCTCTCTATCCCTCCCTCTACTTTCCCCTCTCTCTCTCCCCTCTCTATCCCACCTCTCTATCCCCTCCTCTCTCTCCCTATCCCCCTCTCTCTCTCCTTCTCTCTCCTCCCCCTCTTTTTCCCACCTCTCTCCCCTCCTCTCTATCTCTCCTCTCTCTCTATCTTTCTCTATCTCTTCTCTCTCTCCCTCCTCTCTCTCCATTCCTCCTCTCTCTCTCTCCCCCTCTCCATCCCTCCCCCTCTCTCTCCTGCCCTCCTGTCTCTCTGTCCTCCTCTCTATCCCTCCTCTCTCTCTCTCCCCTCTCTCTATCTATCCCCTCTCTATCCCACCTCTCTCTCCTCCTCTCTATCTCTCCTCTCTCTATCCCTCCTCTCTCTCTATCCCCCTCTCTATCCCTCCTCTCTCTATCCCCTCTCTATCCCCCCTCTCTATCCCTCCTCTCTATCTCTCCTCTCTCTCTATCTTTCCTCTCTATCCCTCCTCTCTCTCTATCCCTCCTCTCTCTCCATACCTCCTCTCTCTCTATCCCTCCTCTCTCTCTATCCCTCCTCTCTCTCCATCCCTCCTCTCTCTCTATCCTTCTTTCAATATTACTGATACTCGTACCTGTTGAGGCCCTGACCCTTCGGTGGTCAAGACACAAGTATAGTGTGTGTGTGTGTGTGTGTGTGTGTGTGTGTGTGTGTGTGTGTGTGTGCAATAATAATAATAATAATAAAAATGGTTTATTGAAAAAGTTCTGCAGCCCGAAGGCTGAAAATATACATTGGACATAAATGAATTATTACATACATTGGTGGTTTAACAAAAGCCTTCATTAGAGAAAGGTAAAGGAACATACAGTGAACATACAAATTAATGTATACAGTGGAGGTCACGTAGATCTTGTGCGCTGAGGTATTGAACAGCAGACACGTAGTGTAGTAAATCCCTCACAGATGGTGTTATGAGGGGCATCACGTGGTGTAGTAGTTCCCTCACAGATGGTGTTATGAGGTGCCTGATGATGTAGTAATTCCCCCACAGATGGTGTTATGAGGGGCATCACGTGGTGTAGTAGTTCCCTCACAGGTGGTGTTATGAGGTGCGTGATATGGTGTAGTAATTCCCTCACAGATGGTGTTATGAGGGGCATCACGTGGTGTAGTAACTCCCTCGCAGGTGGTGTTATGAGCGGCATCACGTGGTGTAGTAACTCCCTCGCAGATGATGTTATGAGGGGCCTGACGTTGTGTAGTAGTTCCCTCACAGATGGTGTTATGAGGGGCATCACGTGGTGTAGCAACTCCCTCACAGATGGTGTTATGAGGGGTATCACGTTGTGTAGTAGTTCCCTCACAGATGGTGTTATGAGGGGCATCACGTGGTGTAGTAATTCCCTCACAGATGGTGTTATGAGGGGCCTGATGATGTAGTAATTCCCTCACAGATGGTGTTATGAGGAACCTCACATGATGCTGTAGTAACTCATTCACTACGTGGTGTCGTAGCAACATGGAGACACCACGTGGTCTGTTGTCACAGGACCTTGCTCACTCAAGTGAGTGAGGTGTGGTCCTTGGCCTCCCTCTCGTGGACGGATTAACACATAGCTGGTGTTGTTGAGTCTCAGGGGCAGTTATCACTGGGTACTTGGGACCTCACTGTGTGAATGTTAGCTAGGGTACGATTCAGCTGTTACTGTTGAGTTGTTTTTCATTGTTCACCACTATTCAACACTGGTTCTATTCCTTTCCTAATTGAAATAGTAACTTCTGGCGAGAACTTGTTGAAATTTCGGTGGGGGGGGAGGGTTCTGGGGTGGGAGTTGGTATGGGCCAACATAACAGTTGACGTAGCTGCTGCCAGAGCAGGTACGTCTTGACCCTTCGGTGGCGTGTGTGTGTGTAACAGGGTGGTTATACACGTGGTTCCTACCTGGCTGTACACGTGGCCGTTGTTGTACACACGGGGATAACCCTGGTACACGTCCTGGGTGGTTAGGTCCGTATCTTACGACGTACATGTTCAGCTCTCAGTAATGACGCACTGGCTAATATATGTTCGGTCTTTCACATTGTATGAGTCGGTTATTAACTGGGGTATATTAATATATTGCAATATATAAATTAGTCTTATATCCAGGAGTTTATATCATTATCCATCATATAGATCAGCCCCTTATACTGCCAGGGATAAAGTCAGTATATATAACAGGCCCTTATATGTATATGTGTGTATTTGCTGTATGTATATATGCATCTGAAGGCTCATGCGTCCATACATGTGTATATATGTGTTTACACGTGAATGTTAAGTATATGTGTATGTATTCCGTGTATAATATGTGTTTGGTGAAGACGCTCCGACAAGGACGTGATAAAGTACGAGATATATTGTTTTATCCAGTTATTTTTATTATTATGGCCACAATGTTTTATATTAAGTGTTAAAGAGAACAAATAATAAAAGGTTTACAAACAAAACATCAGCACAGAAGACACAATGTAGTTAAAGAAGGTTACTCTTGGTCTTACTTGAAGCTGACATTTTGTTGGTTTACATGATGAGGCCTAAATCGTGTCAACAGAGCGAGTAGTTCTATGTTATGGTGGTGGTGGTGGTGGCAGACGTTAGGTGTCTGCTGCCGTCTGCTGTAGATGGTGGTGGCAGATGCACCACTTGCCAAAATATACAGAGCCGATGACCACTTCTCCAGCCAGCCTCCTTCCTCACCATCACCACCCACAACAGCAACTACTTAGTCTCTATCCTGTAGAAGGATGACCCTGAGCCGCATGGTTCTGGTGACCTACAGGTGCATAGGGCTGGTGGACTCCAGGGTGAGTACTACCATGGCCTGGATGGCCTGGATGGCCTGGATGGCCTGGATGACCTGGAAAGACCTCGAAGCTCTGATGTCCTTCATTAGTCCAAATTCCAAATTCATTGCTCACTTTTGGTCGTCCATATGGGCCTGCAACAACGGAACCAGGTCCAACCGGGTTAAGGTAGGGGTCGTTTAGGAGAGGATTTGGTTGTGGGTGTGTACCAACTCCCTGGGGCAGCCCTTCAACTTTAGCCTGGTCGAGGGATACCACAATGAGGAGTACCATCAGCGCTTTCCCCAGCAAGTTCCTGGAAGTGGACATCTGTGGGGAGAAACAAAGTACAGGTGTTACTCTTTTATGATGACTGTGAGGTAGAAAAACACAGGAATTACCCATTAAACGTCTCTGTGTATACCTCTGTAAAGCCGTTTTATGCCAGCAAATACATAAGGAGAGGCTGGAATACTCACTGTCAACACGTAGACACGGAGGAGGGAGACAAGTGCTTCCGTCGAGCTGTGGACAGTTTGTGTGGTGGGTTGTGTGAGCCTTCTGTATTATACTATATATAGTTTGTGTGTGTGGAAACAGCACCTCCACCACCAGGGGAAGACAGGTTCCTGGGTGTGGTGTTTCCCCGGGTGTGATTAGGTAATGCTTACATTAATTGATGACACTATTGTGTTTGGACTAAGGATTCTTGTTGACGTCAATCTGTGTGTGTATGTGTGTAAGCGTGTCCCCAGCAGCTAGCCGGAACATCCTCGTGGGGTCTCGTCAGGTAAAGGAAACTTGGATCTCTCCTCTTCTACCTGCGCCTCCAGGCTAACACTTCTCACTTCCCCTCCTTTCCATTTTCTCTCCTTATTTTCTTTTATTACCTTACCTTCTTTCTCCCTCTTGTAATGGCCCCTGTTTCATAAACAGAAGAATTATATGAATGGGTTAATTACATTTGACTTATATACTGATTCATCCCCTGTAACTTTCCACTAGCTATGGGGTTACATGTTCAGTGCACGAGATAGGGTGTGCCCACGGGAAGCCACATCATATTATGCTGAATAAAGGCATTTAGTAGCCGGCTTTCTGGCCACCCAAAGCAGGCAGTAGTTTGATATCCTTGACTAGAGGAAGACGTTATTTGAGAGCCGTCGTGAATGGCTCCGTCTTCCCTCGAGGGAGGACGACGTGCCTGTTCCGTTCTCCCTCGATGGGTCACTACGCAGAGTTACTCACAATCTCACATCGAACGGACGTGATTAAACGGTCTATTTACATAGCCACCGTCCTCTCCCTTCACGCTCAAAAATAGTGGAAGTTATGGTTGATCTACACTCAGCAATTATATAAACAATACTTTTTAATAAAAGCACAAACTGCAATTGGGTTTCGTTACTAAAGCCCAATATAATATAAATGTACCAGCCTGGTTAACTTTAAGTAACCAACTAATTCACTCTGTATCCCTCCTTTATTCCCTTTATATATATCTTATTACCCTTTATTCGTCTTTATTCCCCCTCTCTCATCTTTTTCGACATCTTATCAACTATTACCAAAATTACCCGCCGTCGCCCGGGTTAAGTCTATACTGTATAACCTTGACTGTCTCAATTTGTCCTCCCTGATACAGTAAACCATCTCAACCTGACCTGACCTAACATGGTTTGACCTGACCTGACCACACCTAACCTGACCTGACCTGACTTAACCTAACCTGATCTAACCTAACCTGACCTAAGCTGAGTAACCACCTCCTGCAATCACCACGTTTATTCCTTCACTCTCTGTCTCTCCATTTGACTTTGTGTTTGTCTCTTGTCTCTCACATTTTCTTTAATTACTATTTTCGTCTTCTTGCGGAACCTATTATTATTATTATTATTATTATTATTATTATTATTATTATTATTATTATTATTGTTATTGTTATTGTTGTTGTTGTTGTTGGGTTTCATCTTGTTTTCTTTCGTCTTAATGTTCCGATTATCATTGAGATTATCATCATCATTATTATCAGCATCATCATCATCATCATCATAATAATAATATTAATATCTATTATGTTATTATTATTATTACTATTTTTATATATTTTTTATATATATTTTTATTCTATTACAATTATTATTTTTTCATATCTTTTTTACTATTTGTATCTTTGTTGTTCTTTCTGAAGTCTTATAATTATTGGTTGTGTGTATGTGTGTGTGTGTGTGTGTGTGTGTGTGTGTGTGTGTGTGTTTGTGTCTGTGAGAAACACAAAAATTTGCAGATCAACACAAGATGCGCAAATTTTTCAGTTCCACTAAAACATTTTATGGGCCAATCACTTATGGCGCAGCCCCCCTCCACTCATCCGACGGTAACTCCCTAATTAAAGATGACGAAGGCATCCTTGAACGCTGGAAAGAGCACTAAAATTCATTGCTCAACCGAAACACCGATGAGGTTGTCCTGACTACCCAGCAGGTTCCTCAGTGTCCAGAGCTGACTCACTTCAGCTATCCTCCATCCCTGGATAAGGTAGCTACTGCCATCAAACAGATGAGAAATAACAAAGCCTCAGGACCTGATGGAATCCCAGTCGAGGTGTATAAAGCAGGAGAACCTCTGCTTACCAGCCGTCTCCACTCTCTCCTGGAGAATATATGGGAAAAGGAGGAAATCCCCAAGCTCTTAAAGACGCCTCCATTGTCAATATTTATATGAACAAGGGAGGCCGGGCAGACTGGCAATTACCGCAGGATCTCGCTGCTGTCCGTAGCTGGCAAGATTTTCGCCGAGTCCTCCTAAACAGACTTTTCCTGAGGCGGAAAAATTCCTCCCAGAATCTCAGTGTGGCTTTAGACCATCACGTGGCACCACTGACTTGATCTTTGCTGCCCGCCAGATACAGGAAAAGTGCAGAGAACTTCGTCGTGACCTGTACATGGCTTTCATCGACCTAACCAAGGCCTTCGACTCGGTTAACAGGGAAGTCCTCTGGTAGACCCTCAGCCGTTTTGACTGCCCACCAAAATTCATCGCCATTGTGAGGCAACTCCATGATGGCATGAATGGCAGTGTCCTGCACAATGGCACCCAGTCTGAGTTCTTCCCTATCCAAACGGGGGTTAAACAAGGGTGTGTATTGGCAGCAACTCTCTCTTCCATTTTCTTGGCTGCCTTCCTTACTCGTGCCAGTGCCAATTTAGCCGGCGGGGTGGACATCGAGTACCGGATGAAGGGTCTTTTCAACATAAGATGACTCCAGGCAGAAACAAATGTGTCAGCAGCTTCCATTCCTGAACTTCAGTATGCAGACGACCTCACCCTTGTCGCTCACACTGAACGTGACCTACAGATGATCCTGAAAACCTTCGCAGATGCGTATGCACACTTCGGCCTTGAGGTGAATGTACATAAGACTCATATTCTCTTTCAGCATGCCCCTGGTTCATACACATCTCCACCATCCATCCAGCTTAACGGAACTACCCTCTCTAATGTTACCCACTTTCGGTATCTCGGCTCCCACCAGTCCACCACCGCGGACTTCGATGAAGAGATTCAGCATCGGATCAGAAGTGGAGCTGAAATTATCTACAAAGTTATACTTATATCAAGCAGTGGTCCTTCCCACCCTCCTATATGGCAGCAAGACATGGATCACATACAGGAGGCACCTCAAGGCACCTGAAAACTTCACCAACGTAGTCTATGTTCCATTCCCCGAGTTCGCTGGGAATACAAGAGAACAAATGCCAGTATTCTTGCTGACACTAACTGAAGGAGCATCGAGGCTATTATTATCCAGGAACAGCTACTCTGGATTAGCCATGATACCCGCATGGACGACAGTAGACTGCCAAAGCAACTACTTTACAGTCACCTAACGAATAATAAACGTAATGCCGGCGGGCAACTGAAAAGGTATAAGATAGTCTTAAGACAAACCTGAAAATGTGCCAAATCGACCCCCAACCTGGGAGACGATTGTAACGCTTGGAGGAGCACCAAACGAGAAGGTGTCAACACTTTCGAGTTAGCCCGACTGCAAACCGAGGCAGACAAGCGTAAAAGCAGGAAAGACGCTTCTGCCGCCCCCCCTGCACTAGATGTAGCAACATCTGCGAACGACTCTGCCGGTCCCGCATCGGCCTCTTTAGTCACTTCAAAACTCACCAGAGAAGGTGACATCCCTAATAACTCATGTCATTGTATCATAACTTGATGATCGTCATACTCGATTCCGAGTGACAGTAAAGTAGTAGTAGGTGAGTGTGTGTGTAATAATAATAATAATAATAATAATAATAATAATAATAATAATAATAAAAATAATAATTAACGGTTTATTGAAAAAGCATGGCACCCGGAAGGCTGAAAATATACAGTTACATAATTGGGGAATGGGTTTCTTGATTTACAAATAATATACAAGTAACATAAGTGATACAAATATGATATATAATAACTAGGTGGGGAGAAGCTCAAACTACAGGGCATTTCAACATAGTGACAGTGCGAAAAGTAAGATTGACTGGGAGTGAATATACTGTGTGTGTGTGTGTGTGTATGTGTGTGTGTGTGTGTGTGTAACAGGGTGGTTATACACGTGGTTCCTACCTGGCTGTACCCGTGGCCGTTGTTGTACACACGGGGATAACCCTGGTACACGTCCTGGGTGGTTAGGTCCGTATCTTACGACGTACTGTACATGTTCAGCTCTCAGTAATGACGCACTGGCTAATATATGTTCGGTTTTTCACATTGTATGAGTCGGTTATTAACTGGGGTATATTAATATATTGCTATATATAAATTAGTCTTATATCCAGGAGTTTATATCATTATCCATCATATAAATCAGCCCCTTATACTGCCAGGGATAAAGTCAGTATATATAACAGGCCCTTATATGTATATGTGTGTAATTGATGTATGTATATATGCATCTGAAGGCTCATGCGTCCATACATGTGTATATATGTGTTTACACGTGAATGTTAAGTATATGTATGTATTCCGTATATAATATGTGTTTGGTGAAGACGCTCCGACAAGGACGTGATAAAGTACGAGATATATTGTTTTATCCAGTTATTTTTATTATTATGGCCACAATGTTTTATATTAAGTGTTAAAGAGAACAATTGATAAAAGGTTTACAAACAAAACATCAACACAGAAGACACAATGTAGTTAAAGAAGGTTACTCTTGGTCTTACTTGAAGCTGACATTTTGTTGGTTAACATGATGAGGCCTAAATCGTGTCAACAGTAGTTCTATGTTATGCTGGTGGTGGTGGTGGTGGTGGTGATGGTGGTGGCAAACGTTGGGTGTCTGCCGCCGTCGGCTGTAGATGGGAGTGGCTGACGTTGGATGTCTGCTGCCACATTCTGTAAATGGTGGGGGTAGATACAGCACTGGCCAAAATATACGGGGCCAATGACCACTTCTACAGCCGGTCTCCTTCCTCGCCATCACCACCCGCAACAGCAACAACCTGGGTTCTATCAGTGCGTTGGGCCGAAACCAGGAAGACGATGAGTCAGAGTGCTGTGTAGAGCAGGAGAGGCTCCTGTCTGCTCCTGACTATTTAGTGTATCTTGGCCTCCAATGCTACTACCTACCCCGGTCTCTTGGCTCCCAGGGCCTTCGGTAGTACTAGAAGTAGTACCTCCCACCTGTTCGTTGCTGTTATTGGTTCCCGAGGAACCATAAGTTGTGGTCACCTCTTGGCTCTGTCCAACCGGGTTAAGGAAGGGGTCATGCTGGAAAAAATTCGGTTTTGGGTGTGAACCGAATCCCTGAGGCAGACCTTCAACTCCAGTTTGGTCGAGAGATACCACAAGGAACAGTCCCATCAGCGCCATCCCCAGCAAGTTCCTGGAAGTGGACATCTGTGGGGAGAAACAAAGTACAAGTGTAACTCTTTTATGATGACTGTGAGGTAGAAAAACACAGGAGTTACCCATTAAACGTCTCTCAGTATACCTCTGTAAAGCCGAGAGAGAGAGAGAGAGAGAGAGAGAGAGAGAGAGAGAGAGACCTGTTGTTAGGGTCATTAGCTCAGGTATCTCAGGTGTTCTCTCTGTAAGACGTCGTCGTTCACAAGACTCAGGTAAACATGGTTAGTATACACAAAAATAATATCAACTTACATGTGTTTTCTACGAGAGAGATAGAATGTAGAGAATTTAGTTTTTTTTAACGCTTCTATGTAGTTATTATCTAGTGCAGAAGGTGTGGACGTTCAGGTATCACTTTAATTACTTTGTTTTACCTGTAGATGCAGTTCCTCTTTATGTATAACGAAGCATCTCTCTATATCCCTTAGTTAATCCACCCATTTACCTGTTAATTAAACCATTTATCTACCTGTTAATTAATCTATCCATCTACTTGTTAATGAATCCACCAGAATACCTGTCTTGTTTATCGACCCGCTGACTAACAAAGATACTCTCTATGTTTCTGTACTTCTACCTACTGTATCTACGTATTTACTCTCTATATACAACAAACTGTTATAACGAGAGGCAGGAATACTCACTGTTAACACGAAGATCAGAGATGTTCTTGAAGGATGAAGGCAAGTGGCTCTGTCGAGGTCCTGACTGGTTGTGTGATTGTCCGGTTGAGGAGGGCTTCTATATATATGTGTGTGGGTGTGGGGATCCAGTACCACCAATGGAAGGCAAGACCAGTTTGTGGGTGCGGTTTAGACCCTGCTAGATCCCGGTTGTGCTAGTACAAACTGGTGATGAGACTGTTGCGTTTGTACGAAGAATAATTATTAGCGTCAACCTCTATCTCTCTCTCTGTATTTTGGGTTTGTGTGTGTATGTGTGTGTATTTTGGGTTTGTGTGTGTATATGTGTGTGTATATGTGTGTGTATTTTGGGTTTGTGTGTGTGTGTATGTGTATTTTGAGTTTGTGTGTGTGTATGTCTGTGTGTATTTTGGGTTTGTGTGTGCATGAGTGTGTATTTTGGGTTTGTGTGTGTTTGTGTATGTGTATTTTGGGTTTGTATGTGTATGTGTGTATATTTTGGGTTTGTAAGTGTGTGTGTGTATTTTGGGTTTATGTGTGTATGTATGTGTTTTGGGTTTGTGTGTTTATGTGTGTGTATTTTGGGTTTATGTGTGTATGTGTATTTTGGGTTTGTGTGTGTATGTGTATTTTGGGTTTATGTGTGTATGTATGTCTGTGTGTATTTTGGATATAATAATAATAATAATAATAATAATAATAATAATAATAATAATAATAATTAACAGTTTATTGAAAAAGTTTTGCAGCCCTAAGGCTGAAAATATACATTGGACAAAAATGACTTATTACATACAAAGACTTGGGGTGGGTGGGTCGTTTAAGAAAAGCTTTCATTACTGAAAGGAAAAGAAACATGAATTGAACATACAAATTATAGTTTACAGCTGATAGCCCGGGCTGGTCTCTTGCCATATTATGCCCTTATTATGGAATGAATATCAATTCACTGGAGTCGGTGCAGCGAAGAATGACGAAAATGATTCCGGGACTTAGAAACCTTCCATATCAGGATAGGTTAAAGAAACTAAACTTGCATTCCCTAGAAAGACGAAGTGTGCGGGGAGATATGATAGAAGTATTTAAGTGGGTGAAAGGAATCAATAAAGGGGATATAGATAAAGTTCTTATAATATCCGAGCAGGATAGGACTCGGAGCAACGGATTTAAGTTGGATAAGTTTAGGTTTAGGAGGGAGATAGGAAGGAACTGGTTCACAAATAGGGTGGTGGACGAGTGGAACAAGCTTAGCAACTTTGTAGTAAGTGCGGGAACGCTGGACAGTTTCAAAAGGAGGCTGGATAGATTCATGGATGATAGAGAGTGGTAGTAACTCTCGACAGGAGCTGCCATGCACAGGCCAACCGGCCTATTGCAGACTCCTTATTTTCTTATGTTCTTATGTTGTTATGTAGTCCACTTGGTGCAGTAACTCGTCCGTAGGTGTTGATATGAAGGACCTCACGGGGTCATGGAGGCACCGGGTGGTGTTCACATGGTATAATAATAATAATAATAATAATAATAATAATAATAATTGACGGTTTATTGAAAAAGTTCTGCAGCCCGAAGGCTGAAAATATACATTGGACATAAATGACTTATTACATACATTGGTGGTTTAAAAAAAGCCTTCATTAGAGAAAGGTAAAGGAACATACAGTGAACATACAGATTATTGTAGGTGTTGAACAGCAAACACGTAGTGTAGTAACTCCCTCCCAGATGGTGTTAGGAGGGACCTCACGTGGTGTAGTAATTCCCTCACAGATGGTGTTATGAGGGACCACGTGGTGTAGTAATTCCCTCACAGATGGTGTTATGAGGGACCTCACGTGGTGTAGTAATTCCCCCACAGATGGTGTTATGAGGGCCTCACGTGGTGTAGTAATTCCTCACAGATGGTGTTATGAGGGGCCTCACGTGGTGTAGTAATTCCCTCACAGATGGTGTTATGAGGGGCCTCACGTGGTGTAGTAACTCCCTCACAGATGGTGTTATGAGGGAGCTGACGTGGTGTAGTAATTCCCTCACAGATGGTGTTATATGAGTAAGGTGTGGTCCCAGGCCTTCCTATCGTAGACGGATTAACACATCGCTGGTTGTTGTTGGGTCTCACGGGCCGTTATCACTGGGTACCTGGGACCTCACTGTGTGAAGGTTAACTTGGGTAGGACTGTTACTGTTGAGTTGTTCTTACTGACTTAAGCACTGTTCACCACTGTTCACCTCTGTTTAACAGTGGTTCCATTCCTTTCCTAAATGAAATTGTAACTTCTGGCGAGAACTTGTTGATATTCCGGTGGGGAGGAGGGTTCAGGGGAGGGAGTTGGTATGGGCCAACTTAACAGTTGACCTGGCTGCTCCGAGAGGAGCGCCAGGTACGTCTTGTGTGTGTGTATGTGTGTGTGTATTTGAGGGTTTTGAATAGATTTTATGTTTGTGTGTATGTCAATGTGTTTGCGAGTGCTTGAGTGCCTATGAATATTTTTTTTGTACATACGTCTGTGTGTGTGTGTGTGTGTGTGTGTGTGTGTGTGTGTGTGTGTGTAATAATAATAAATAATAATAATAATAAACGGTTTATTAATAGAGTTGCAGCCGGTGGCTGAAAATATACAGACTTACATTTAATTTAGACAATGATATAATATGCATTGAATACATTTACAGGGCTGTACAGTACATAAATCAAGAGTTGTTTATTATTTTAACAATAGATAGATGGTGCTGTTCTTATATCTATCGGTGCGGGCTCTTATGGGCTGAATTTTGTTGTAGTGGCGGACTGCGCGAGGTGGGTGGGGGGCTGCCGGTGGCAGGAGGTGGCGATGGCGAGGGTGGTGCAGTAGTTCATTGCCAAACCTTGCCAGTGTGTGTGTGTGTGTGTGTTTGTGTGTGTGTGTGTATGTGTATTTATGTGTGTGTGTACGTGTGTTTGTGTGTGTGTGTGTGTGCACACGTGTGTGTGTGTGTATTCTGGATTTGTGTGAGTGTGTGTGTGTGTGTATTCCTGTGTG